GTTGGTGACGTCGTGATTGATTGCAGTGGACCAGTACCAACTGCTTCTTGCGAGGATCATCACATGCATCATCATCAGCATCATCACTTGCTTCATCATCCTTCGCCTCCACCCCCAGCACCCGCAGCTGCGCCATCCACTCCACCGCAAATGAACCGACCACCCTCTTCCATGTCGCGCTCTTGGGGCAGCGTCAGTGTCAATGTTAACGAGGAACACGAATTAATTGCTTCTCTTGCTCTGCAACACCGTAACGGTTCTGACGCCAGTTTTAAGGTATTGTATTTTTATGTATTTTCAGATATTGTTAGGAGCGTCTGGTTAACTTTTTCCTAGATATGGAATTTTGTATTTTTCATACTCACTGTATTTTTAATCAGAAAAAAACATTCTTTGAACAGGAAGTAAGGTAAAATATTTTACTAATCTCATCATAGCTGATTCATCTTAGTTTGAAGAAAAAGAAGGTTCATTTGATTTTTTAATATAAGTTACGTATGTTTATTTATTTTATTACAGTCAAGTTCCAGTACAGAATCAGACTCACTGCCTTTTGCAAATGAAAACGCTGGTACGATAAAACAGAGAGCTGCTCGCGCACAAGAATATGCAAGTGGTAATTCCAATAACAGTATGCAGAGCCATGGAATAACCCATCATTCCGGTGGTAGCGAACCGGCGGATGTATTGAACGACATTGGAAATATGCTTGCAAATCTTACCGACGAACTTGACGCTATGCTCGAAGAGGAAAAGCGTCAAGGCCTGACTTCATAATTGCTGCCTTTGTTTGCACCGTATTTTCAGTTTATTAACGGTATAAGAAAGAAGAAGCATCTTCAGCGGCACAACCGATAATAAACTTTTCACTCTATAAGGTATAATATGGTAGAACACGAGCAGGATTAAATTCGAATTATCAAATTTCAAACAGCCACTGTTTTGAAATGAGAAAACGCTCGGCGTTGGATAACTACTGTAACATAAGTTACATCCTGTTATAATTGTATCAGTATGGTGGATCGTATATTCATCCATGCCATAACCTTAATTTTATCAATTTCTACTTCCTTTTTCTCTCATTTTTATAGAACAAAGCTTCTTATTTTTCTATCGAATTATTATGAACTTGTGAAGTTTCCAGAGACACCTCGTTGTTGCACAATTTTTGTAATTCTTCTATTCCTCCAAAGTACTTATTACTATACATATATACACATATATTTTTACTTACGTTCGTTACATTTATATCAGATAATGTTAACAGTTTGGACTTTGACATTTTTATGCAAAATATATAAAAGAAACCATTCAAATGAAAATACACTTAATGAATAAGTATATGCCTTATGAAAAAAAGACTGTAAAAAACATCCGTATAGTCTAGATCCCCCTCACTTTACATTTACACAGCATAAAGACTGATATTTTTTCTCTGGGAACTTCATTGGTTGCAGCATACGTACATTCCAGGTAGTATATTTCCTTTTCCACTTCCGTCCTTTGCTAAAACGATAGCACGTTAGATTGGGACCTTCATAACTGTTGGAACTGTTAGACATTTTGAGAATTAGTACAATACAAAGAGGTAAACTTCTGTATTCCTTTCTCCAAAATGAAATGATTCTTCCAATGATGTCAAAGAAAAAAATTATTGATTCAAGTTGTTTTTTATATTGAAGCATAATTATACCTTTGACTATATAATGGTACAACATCTATAAGAGTTTATGATAGTTTATAATAAACAAACGAGAAATTTACATCTTCCATTATCTGAACTTGAGAAGAAAGTTCTCATAAGACTGAGAACGAACCGACGTAGATATTTGACTGCCAATTAAATTTCAAGATTATACAGTTTAATACAGAATCATATGCACTGTAAGCCAATTAACATTTTATATTTATTATCCGTACTAATATAGTGATGTATGTAACTCACTATTGTTATATGGTGCACAAATCATGTGGAACGTACAGAGTATCCACATGTATCAAATCAAAGTAATGATAGTAGTAGAATGTTGTTGATAAAGTGTTCAGGTTCTCCCCCCCCTACATCCAAAATATGATACTGATACGTATTGAGACTTGGGCGTAAAACATGATGCATAAACTTTATTAGAAAAATTTATGTGTATGTGCTGATGCATATATGCGTATACATTTGTATGTGGTAACTTCAAACGATTAACGATCATGAGTTTGTACTTGGTTTAGTTTGAGATTTCAAGTATTTTGAAGTCTGTGATCTTCATTAACTGCCTCCAATCTTTGTTGACAAACCAGTTTGTATGTACTATGATTAAAATGTTTCATTTTTTAATTCATATATATATAGATACATATGTATAGAATTTAGAATTCTTACGATGCTCTTTATTTTGCATCTCTTAAAGGAGTATAAAACTTGTTGTATCTGTATAAATCAGTTTTACAACCAAAACATAAATTACAATGAATTCATTTATACTATCATTGTTTTAATGAATTTTAATTTTAATCTTGATACATGATTTGTTATATACATATACGTATCTTTAAATTCAGCTATGCCCTATTATTATGACGCAAGAAAAATGTGGTAGGACATATACAAGATTTTGAAATACACTTAAAATTTAGGATAATCAACTAAACATTGGGGCTACATTCTTGTGGCCTGCAGACTTGTTAACTACTGTAGGTATACATATAATAGTATATACATATATCATTTTAAGCAGTGTACTTAGGGAAACTGTTTTGCGGTGCTGCAAATTTATAAATTAATTATTAATTATGTTTAATTCTTATTGCGGTATATTGTAATATCAGAAGTAGATAAAAGAATCATAATTTTAATGTATTTGTACATAAATTTGACAATTTTCAACTTGAAATTGCGGTAAGTTATTTCTAAAGAGAAACTTAAGCAATATATGAATTTAAATGATGAGAATTTTTAATATCTCGACAAATTTTTATATTTGTAAACAGTTACTGATTAATTGTTTTTCAGAAATTGGATACAGATACACGAGTATTTTTAAAAGAATATACAAATAATTCATTTTGTTTAAAAAATTATTGATATAAATATCAAAAAATAAAAACTATACACTGATATTTTGATGTAGGTGTTTAGACAGTATAAATGTTGATACGATGAGAAATTTTGCAAGTAATACGCGTTGGCAGGAAATAAAATATTTTATAATAACATTGAATGGTCGAGTAACCATACTTGTTTTTATAACATATAAATTGACAATTTTGATAACGTGTACAATAGGATATAATCCAAAAAATGAATTCAACCAGAATTTCAAATCAAACTCTGTATAGAGTTGAAATATCAATTGTGAATAGATTTATTTAATATTTATTTGACGATCAATTTTTGTTCATTAAGCGTATTGAAAATATATTATAAATGATTTCATTAGTATTTCGAAAGTATTATTTTAAGTAAAACATTATGAGAGGTATAGATCCATGCAATAAGAAAATCTATATACAGTAACGTATACATATTAATATTTGTAGTCTAATAGTGTTATTAGAAATGCTTAAGATGATATAATTATTGCTTTTAGATGGAAAAAAAGATCTTTAATAGTATTATTTCCATTTTCAGATTTCAGTGCGAATAAACTGTCTCTATAGAATTAAATACACTATGTTTACTTAAAATAATGCATTCGTGGCGTTTATGGCAGTTTGTGGCATTCCTTGAATTATGAAATACATGCTATTTACTATTTTTAAGTCTTTATAGTTTCGTTTAAGCAAATAGTTATTATTAAGTGATATCATAAACAGAAATTCAATCGATGGCTGATTTTTGGCAGCTAATTCAGAATTCCTGAAGACATTGCTTCTACATGGTATATACATATTATATATATATATAAATATTATATAAATATAGATATAAATATAAGTATAAATATGTATTTATATTTATATTTGTATTCAATTAGTCATAGTTTTTGTACAAAACGTATGCGTCGCTGCAATTTTTTTCAGCGAATTCAATATCCGCCTAAATGCATTTTACGAGTCCTCGAGACCCTTCCTACTTTTTGTGTTTGTTTAAATGCACGTTAAATACAATTATTTTATTTATCAATTATGATGAGAATCATTAAATAAAACTAATTGACAGACTCAATTTTTCATGTTTTTTAGTGCATACCCAAAATAAGCCATTATTCATTTTTATTATATTTTTGTTTTATAAGCTTTCTATCATATTAAACATTTAGCAAATAGAAATTTTTATATTCTTATATAAAAACTAAGTTGGTTAGCTTTCTTATTTGAAAAAGGCTGCTTCATTGTAATCCTATAATTAGAAATAATTAAATGTTTAATTTTAAACATAAACAATAGTCTAGAGATTCACGTGAATAAATAATATTATTTTTAAGTGAGAATAAAAAGAAATCCTTGGAACACTGATATATTTACATTCCTCACTCTTAGCTGTTAAGTTTCTTTAAATATTTAGATGCAGATTATATGCCATGTTATGTATGCCATGTTTGTGTAAATTATATATCAGTTTCAATATAAAATTATTAAGCAACAGTAACTGTCACACTATGTGCATTTCCCATTAAATGAATTATTATTAATACATAGTTTTATGATATAAATCATACTTGTTTCTTAATTAACAATTCAATATTAATCTAAATTATGACAAATTCCTTCAAATACTAAAATCAATTATAAATGGAAAATTCTATATGTATAAGCCTATATGTAAGTCCATATTGATGAAACATCTATCTATTACAGAAAAGAATGTTTAAAAAATAAGACAATTGTTTCCATCATCTTTTAATTAATGTATTTCTGTTTTTATCAATTCGGTACTGTACAATTTATTCGTAATAGTTCAAATGGAAGTGAAATATGATTGGTGCTTTTTCTCTATTTAGTTCTGCTTTCAGCCGTACGAGTGCGCTCGTGAACATTCTTGTGCGCCGCACACGGCAAGGGCAAGTTGTACGCTTTGTGTACCAGTGGAGCTGCTGTCGCGGTCCGGAATGGTCCGGAATGAGTGGTTGTTTGAGGTGCATTTCTTTCGAATATTTGGCATCGCGTCTCGACCTATTTTTCACAGACATTAGTGGAAGTTTCGTGTAAAAGTGTGAAAAATGATAACTATTAAACGCGATAAGTGTGGATTACTCGTTTGAAAGGTAAATTAGCTTGTGCAAGAAGTGAACGGCCGTGATTTTTAGATAGAGGATGGCTTCTTTCTACTCGACCGCCTACCATACTAGCTGCTACTGGTTGCCACGAGATCCTTTCGTACGGATACCCTTTTTTTTTAAACAAATCACCAAGGCTTTCCCAGTGACTTGCAATATTGAAAAAATCAGGTTTAAACGTTACCGTTTCTCTTATTGTCTTCGTTGCGAAAGTGCTAGATATACTTAAACGTAATTTCGCTTTATTTCGAAAGTACGCGATCTGTACTTGAAAGTACATACATGTTGTATAGCGTGTACTAATTATTGAACATTTTACATAGCATTTATACTTGAATATTTGTACGAAGGATCCGAATTGAAAATGTTTTCATGGTAATCGATAATTGACATAGATAATAAAATCCTGGAAAGGATTGCTAATAATATATTATTGAAATTCTCTCAAGTTCTTTGTCTTCAGTATCCCAAGAGATATTATTTTTCATAATAATAATTGAGAAAAGTGTAACGCCTCTACGCGCGAGGCTTTAGAAATGTTTGAAATTTTTTTGGACAGTGACGATTTTCAGTTCAAAGTTGTCATACCGCCGAATCACGTGAGTCAATGTGTAGAGATGTAGAAACACACAAACACGAGAAGTACCGTTTCTCAAAACGGTCGGTCGTGAGTGCGACGATAATTTGCAACGTAAACGTTCGCATACAGTTAGTTTCAGGTCAGTTACGAGTTTCATCGTCGATGTCCATCGCGGAGAAAATACATATTAAATCGTATTATGGAAAATTTATGATCTCGCAGCGTCAACGCTATCGAGGTCGATTCGATCTTCGCTCTGTTAGCCGCGGACCAATCAAAATCGTTAGTTTTTTACTCAGCCATTATATTGGTCAATTTTTATATTCTCTGTTTGCAAAGAAGTAAAAGGTTATCTGTATCTGCGCATGCGTGAAAAATGAAGTTAAATTTACGCGGGCAGATTGAATAATTCAAATAACTTGTTGATCTTAGGTTATGAAATTTTGATGAATCAAGAATTGTACTTATAATGGCAATTTCGAATTGCAAACTGACATCCTTTCTCGTACTATTTAATGTAAAGAATGTAAATTCACATTTTCCAATAAACTGCCAAGTTTAAATAGGGCTAACAGGTGTCTGCGTACGTATTGTTCCCACAGTGGAAAGGAATATAACTGTCAGTGTGTACCTTTATCATGTATCGTTTAAAGAAACTTATAAATTAAAAGTGAAGAACGGGGAACACAGAAGAACATCCTGTAGGGGAGAACGAGAAAAATCGTGTTTGATGCGTTACAAAGAGATAAAAGCGTAGGGAGTCTCGCTTTGATATTCGTGACGGGGATCAATAGTCAGAGAGAATATATTTCTGTTGTAGCACAAATGAAGAGCAAACGTGAAAAAGGGGCAGAAGTAACCGTGGCAAGAAGATAGAAAAGATGTCTGTGGAAGAAAAATAAGGACAGAAGCAGGCAGAGGGGATTTTATATCCTTACCGGTGGGTAAGGTCAGAGGGAGGGCGGGAGGGAGGCGAAGAGATTAACAGATCACGATACAAAGGCGGTTTTGCGAAGAATAATGCAACGTACGAGATGAAAGAAGCGCGTTAAACTGCAAGCCAGGCGTTGGAAGCGAAAAGCATTTCGAGCAGAATGAATGAGAAGAAGGATACGTAGTAAAAGAGTACTCGATCGAAACAGAGGAAAGAGAAAGCCGTACTGCGAAAAGGCAGAGCAGCAACGAGCGGAGGGAAGCGGTTAGAAGAAAGGAAGAGGAGAAACGAGAGAAGACAAAGCGGGAACCGAACGTGGAAAAGTACGATTTTCGAATAAGCCAGACAACGAGGGAGAAATAAAAAAGAAAAAAAAAAAGGGAGGGAGGTGCGTTACACCCTGGAGTCCGATGTTCAGAGTCGTACGATGCCCGGGGCTCTATCTGAGAATGCCCCGAGGCCTGTCAGTGTCGTCGCGGTAGATGGTGCAACCGTTGATACCACTAGGTGCAACCAACTCAACAGACCACAGGTATCGTTACACCTTACACGATACTATTAAAAATGATTAATCTTGTTTTTTCACGATGTAATAAATTGTGGTACGCGAATATTACACTAGTTGGGTTACCACAGTGGAAACTCGCATGTGTTAATAGTCGTCAGGGCCGAGCCTAGCAAAATTGCCTCGGGCCCCGAGCTTAAATATTTTCACATTCGCTAAATCTCAAAAGACAACTCTGATTATCGTACATAGATTTATTCGTTCTTTTGGATACCACTATTGCACCTACAGACCGTCTGGTACACTGTCGCTCAAAAGTATTTATATTCTTTCTTCTATTTGAGCTATACTTACATTAATTCTCAGGTGAATCGGTTCAGTAGTTATCACTTTCACAACTAACGGTGTGGACAAATACTTTTGAGCATTAATGTATGCAAATGAAATGGCGCGGTTAAAACGTGAATTATGTAAGGCGCACGACATAACGTGTCAGTGTGCATTATTCCTGAAACCACTCAAGCCAGGAAATCGAAATCGAAGAAATGATTACAGTTATGGTTTGCGGCTACCTGTTACGGTTTTCTATAATGACGTAAACGCGTTGTTTTGTGTCCTCTGTAGTTTCATTTAATATCCTGCAAGGACAAATAATTAGGTAGCCGAAAGGAACCGGTAAGGTCCTTGAACTGCGTTCCTGCACGTTCGACGCGTGGCGCGGAATACTCGATGAGGATGTACCGAATAGTTTCGGGCGAAATTACGCTCCGCGCATCGCGAAAATTTTTACGATTCTTTCCCGAACATTTCTCAGGAGACCAGAGACAATGGACGCTCTTTCACTTCGACGGAGGCGCAAACGGAGCTGCCTCTGCAAAATGGTCCAGAGGCCCTCGAGGAACTGGACGGCGTACGCGGTGCCCGTAGAAGGGAGAGACGTATGCGAAGACCACGCCGAGCCTTGAGATCATGCTCGATGCCACCGACTTATCCTGGTGCATCGCCGGGATGTCAGGCTTCCTCTACCGCGCCTGGTGTACCGTTGGTCGCACCCGCGAGAGGATTTTTACATCCTCCCCCGCCTCATTTGGGTCTCAGGGGTCTTAGCCTCGGTCTACCGTTTCCGGTTTCCACCAGTGTCTCTGCTTTTGGCAGGTGAATAGTTTGCGAAAATAAAATTCCTTTAACCGTCTTCACCGTGGCACCATGGTTGACCGTAAGTCGAGCGTAGTACTGGACGAGCGTGTTCGAGCAACGCGCCAGCTTACCCGGGAGTACGTGTCAGTGGGTCATTCCAACGGTTAGCTGTTGTGTTGCAGGGACGCAGTACCGAAGCAGTGTTGCGGCCTTAGTTCCCCCCCTGTACGTTGGTCCATACTGGGTGTCGGCGTGGTGGGTCTCGTGTGCGCGGGTGCTGGCGCCCTGCTGGGAGCCCTCAGGGCTTCGGGTCGCGATCACATTGCCGTAGCGCTTCTTATGATCGGTAAGAACAATATTCTTAACTTCGCTTTGTCATTTTTCGTATATGAAAATAAATCTGATCGTGAAATATAAGGGGACAGGATCTGGAGGAAATGTTAAAGGGACGGGAGCATTGATGTGAGAAAGAAAGAATTATGAAATAGGGAACAGCAACGGCAAGAGGTTCGTTGGACGGCCGGATTGGCCGAGAGGGAGGGGGCTGTGTTTGCAACGGTTACTTTCTAAACGTGGGCATGTAACCTGCGACCCGCATAGAATGCCTCTCACAATAGGAGAATGCTCTAACCTACAGGTACTGACGTCGTACGCCTACACGTGGAAAGACCGTGAGATCCATAGAACAGAAAATTGGGAATTTCAGGGATGTTGACCGAGGTCAACAAAAAGAAGATTTCATTGAAATTGAAATTTCAACATCCAGCCGCTGGAAATCTAGATTTCCCCCCTGTGAAAGTGTTGAATTAATTTGATACGGTTCTGTTAAAGCGCATCATTGATACGCTTACTTTCTTTGAAATCCTGAATTAATTACATCATTGTTTATATTAAAAGTTATGTATTTTATAAACATTATTCCACCTTCAGTTCTATGTCTCAAAGAACCATTACACAATACTCGTTGACAACTACTTTTAATTGTTTCATAACAGATCTGTATGACTTATGTTTATTAATGCAACATGAAAGAAAAAAGGAGACAGAGAATTACGTTAATCGCCCTCGCGACACGCTCTGCATCATAGTGAAAATTTCTAGTCCATTATAATGAAGTAATGAAAGTAAAATAAAATTTAAAATGCAAATAGGAGGATCGAGTACGAGGTAGAGAATAAGTCGAGCGAAGCGAAGGAAGATTGCTAGGTTCGGTTAAGAAATTACAAGGATTCGAGAGAAAAGAGTGGAAAGATGTGGGAAAAGGAGGGAGGGAAGCGAGGATGGGTGTGGTGTATCGCGAAAGCTAGTTCGTTTCCTTGAAGGATGTTTTCTTAGCTCTCACTATTCTCACATACTCGGAGTTCGTGAGAACAAGCGACAATGCTTAATAACGATTCCGTCATCTGTGGCTTTAGACGCCTGCTGCGGTGCATTTCACTGAGATTTTCACTCGTTTCCAATGCGACCAACTAGAACATTCCATTTTTCTATTTAAGTTTCGTTACTGAAACTGTATATGCTTACAATTTTTATTAGAACTCGTGAGATTTTAATTATTTGATATTTGAAAAAAGAAAAAATATCATAGAAAAAGAATTTGTCGAACAGTTGGTTTTTTGAAAGGAGTTCGCGTACATTCTGACAAAACGTGTTGTGTTACAGGTATAGGAGTGGTTCTGGTAACTGTGAGCGCTGTAGCGTGGCGAGTGACCAGTCGAGAAAATTGCGGCAGTTTCTTTGGTTTCACAGGGATCTCGAGCAGGATTCCACCGGCGAGGCCGATTCATCCTTACGCTGCCATGATTTATCCGGAATTTCAGTTTAGAACGCCACCTCCGAGCTATCAGGTGACATCTCACTCTCAAATGCCCTTTAGTGTTCTTCCATTAGTCGTTACGATAAACGATATAGTACACTTTATTTTCTAGTATCAAGCAGAACTTATTTTCATCATCAATCATTATTCATTTTTTATATCGCGCAACTAGGGGTGTGCGAAATCCAGATGGGACAGGAAACTTCGGGTTGACTCGGCAAAGATCGGACGCGCTCGGTGCAGCCATTAGCCGATCCTCGCGCTCTAGAACCGAGCGCGTCCGATTCTTGCCGAGTCGAGCCAAAATCAAACCGCGCGTTTATATTGAAAGTTGAAATCTTTGCCACGTAAACAGATGAATCTCAACTCTATTCTTTTGCCTTTTCCAGGCAAGCATGCAAGAGTACAGATTAAGATTGTTACTCTTGGATCGTTTGCAACCGACATCCTCGCCTCCGCCGACCTACAGATCTAACGCCGGAAGTATCGTGACTCCCGGTACAACCAGAGAAAGCAGACCGCCTAGTTACTGCGCTAGATCGAACGCTGCGGCGAATGCGAATGTCGTGCCTTCGAAGAAGGACGCGAATCTGGTCAGAATCGTTCAGACCGAATCGGAGCCGGTAATTTTGAGCGGGGATCAAACTCCTCCCGTCGCTGCCGTTGAAGTACTCGCGCATCTCTGATTCATTCCAATCGTTTTCTCTTTATGGTTCGATCGTAAAGGTAATGTTTTATTCGATGATTTAGCGAAAATAATCATCTGTCTGTAGTGCAATATAGTTGTATCGTTCAGTTTTCTTTGTCTAACTCTAGATTTTTATGAATCGTAACGAACGTTATGAATTATGTTTGATGGAAACGACGAATTAAAAGTGCTTTTTCGCCGCGCGACTGGCGTTAGTGTCGTGCCATTTGCAGTCGCTGGCAGATTAGCGCTGTTTGCATTGGATGAAACTAAATATCATACAAAACCGTGATAATTGTGGTCATGGTTAAAGTAATAGATCTCGACATTGTCTTTTATTCTTTTACCCGTTTCAGTGGAAAGAATAGAAGACTAACGCTATTGGAAAGAAATGCAGACGAGATTATAAACGTTTTACTGTAAAAAAATTATTTTCGCAGTTAGCGATGAAATTAGATGATACTTAAAATTGAATGAAAGTTTCGTTACTTAGGTACCTTAGAAACTTTTGAAATTACGAAACCATGTTACCTTACTATAATACACGTATTTTGCATAAAGCTGTATCCAGAAATAATATCGCTCTCTGAAATCAGTTTAAGGATTAACTTATTCTATACAAGAGAAAGGCAACTTTTGGAAGTGTCGCTTTGTAAATATCAGTGTTGAAATTTTAAAGCTGTAATTTGTAAAATAGTATGTTACAAAAAGGGTGCGCGATGCGGAACGTGTTGATTATGTGTAGGTCTTCCTGTTGTTACAATTACTCATACATAACTTCAAGAACAAAGACCATTCGAAAATAGTATTTTTCGTACTAATTAACGTGTTATAGAATGGTTTTGTAATAATTATAATTAATCAATGATAGCACTAATAGCGACAAAACCATTTCTCTTCTTTCTTTTTAATCAAACTATGAGATTATTTCTATATATTTTCCAAATTACTGTGTAAAATATTGAAAGCTGCATCAATTTGTTAAGAATGGTACTTTAGTGGATAAATAAATAATGCAGCTTTAGAGGTAACAATGCTGCCGCAAGCTTTAACGCCATACAGTAATATTACTGCTCGCTTTATTATCGCGACTTGTGACGACGACAATTTATCGTCTAAAGTCGATGTAAAAGAAATGAGAATCTCGTGTGTTGCGTACAATATATACATATTTTTGTAACTATTATTTGATGGTTAAAAACCCGAGTTACTGTCGGTTTTTATATACAGTAATTATAATTTTATAAAAACGAAAATTTATATGTAAATTCTAGACTTCGTTCATCGATTAACATCGAAATATTCATTAATCGCTTAGTTATTTTTATAATTAAAACTTCAACGACTAAAAAGATACTGCAAAATACTCAACGAATGATCTTCAAATTTATACTAATAAGTTTCCTTTTTTGATATCTCTTTTGAGAATAATTTTTATTCTAAAGTTGTTTGTACTTACTGTTTTTTAAATTATGATTATTTTGTTACTGTTGAATCGGTGTAGATAAATAACATTATAGTTACATATTTTGTGTACTTTTAACACATTATCTCGGGTTATGGAAGTTTCCATATTTTAAATTTAAAAAAAAAGAAATTTAATAACAAAAAATAAACATAAAAAATTAATAGCTGCCCAATGATAAGAATGTTAATTGATGTATTAGGTGTACAGATTGATTTAGTGCCTTTAGTATAGCGCCTTCTTAATTACTAATTTGAATTTGAATATTTTCTCGCGCTTCTGTAGATGTAGAAAAGTGGCGCGAGAATGATATTTCAATAATTAGAGTTACTTGAAAATGTATCTTCAATTAAAAATAGAAAAGGCACAGATTTAATTACTACGTCTAATACATTTAAGCATCAATAAATTGTTACATTCCATTCAGTACAAAGCAGACATTAGAAATATTGTTTTCTAGAAATCGTGTATAATGTTCAGATGGCTGTATATGTATTTTGTGAAATGCTGTATATACAATACCGACAGATTCAACGATAGATAGAGTTGTAAGAGTGGTAATTAATACAAGGGCGACAAATTTTCGAAAGGCGGCCTTAACCAAACTCGCAATGATTCGTGATATGAGAATAGATCAACTATAAGTCATCGATCGAATGAGTATATTGTTCCTTCATATTATTGTAGAACAATTTGTATATATAACGAGAACAAATATATTTATCTGACTTATTTGATCTTCCTCGTGATTCTATATTTTCATATTTTTAGGATTGAAAATTTTGTATTTTATGTGTAGGAATGATTGACACATTGGCGTAACTAGGCAGGGGCCAAGGTGAGCCTGACCCTTCCACATTATTTAAAATTTTTAAGCGACCTGGCTCACCCCAGAAAAAATCCTAATTACTCCAATGAATAAATATTTAAAAAATGGATGTTAGGATTTTCCATAGTAGATTATAAAATTGATCAATTTTGTCTAATGGAATTAGAAACTTGTGTTATGACCATAAAATAAGATAAACAATATTTGTCAAATATAATTCAACATTTGTTTAAACTTATATTATCATTAGATTGTCTTCTTATAAAACATTATAAAACAATATAAAAAATTTGTTAATAACTGAAAAGCAATTTATTTTTATCACAATAATTTAAAATAATATGATCTAATTAAAGTAATATACTCTATTATAACTGCAAATAGTTTAATAAAAACTCGATAATGAGTTCATAATATGCGTGACTTGTATCTCTGAATAGAAACGCCCAAATATTACTCAAAAACACCCTGGGCAAATTCTTTTAGTGCATCCTGCGCATAAAGGTTTTTTGCATATTTCACAATAGGTGCCAGTTTTTCTATCACTTCCTCGTGGACACGATTGACACCTTCTTCGTTTTCCTATCCAGTCAACGGGTTCGTCTCGTGCTTCATTACGAGGATTACAAACACCAGTTAATTTCACAATTGTATGCCTTAATTCACGAGGTAGTTCCTTTTCTAAGCTCCTTCTTTTAAGTTCTGATTGAATCAGAGACTTGCCTAAGGATATAATAAAATCACGTCTCGTGATTTGTTCGGAATTTTCTTTTTTCGTTTGAAGTATGTAAGCATTAAATGCTGCGATATCCATGATGGCAAAAAACATCACCATGGGCCACCACTTTGTACTTTGTGCTGTGGAATATTTTGATATGTCCTGCTCTAGTTTATCCACTGTGTCCTTTGTCATGTTATAAAAGCGAAGTATTTCAGGTTTCCCACTTTCGTTATCAATGCTCTTTGTATGGTGCTTCGTAGAAATTAAAATTATTGATTTATTTTTTTTAGGAGTGTAGGAGACGAGGGTGGCGTGTTCGTTGAATCCAAAAACAGATGATCCGATAACTTTCTTCTTATGCGGAAGAAACTGTGGAGGAATTTGCTTCTTATCTTTTTTCATTGTTCCCACATATGTAACACCCCTATTTCTCAGTTCATCTGCAAGTTCTATAGATGAAAACCAGTTATTTCCTGTTACATTTCTGTTCGTTTTTTCTATCGGATGTACAAGTTTTAGAGCATGTTGCGTAGGCACGGAAAAATTCTTCTTCCTTTTTAAAACGTCCTCCTTTCCTGTATATACATGAGCATTGATTAAATAATGGGTTTTTGTATCTGCTAAAATCATTATCCTTATACCATATTTATTTAACTTGGATGGTAAGTACATTTTAAAGGGACATTTGCCTTCAAAAGCTATCAACATTTCATCGATCGTTAGGTACTCGCTAGAACTATAATTTGCTTGACAATTGAGAATAAATTGCTCAAAAAATTCGGATATTGCTGTAAACTTGTTTGTTCTCTTTCGTTCTTCTCTCGTTTTTTTATCATCAAATCTGAGACAAGAAAGTAAAAATAGTAACCTTTTCAGAGTCATTGTTGCTGGAAATATATCCCTCCCTGTCCCATCGTTAGCATATAAGTCCTCCAAGCTTTCATGTACAGTTTTGAAAACACCTGCTAAGTATAAAAGTCCCAGAACTGCTCTTACCTCTTGGTAATTAGTCTCACTTAAAAATGAGGCTTCATTGGGGCACAAATATTTACCCTTTCTTCTATCTATTTCCTGATTAGTATACTTCACAATAACACAAAGTGTTTCATCTGTGAAGAGGCAACGCCAAGCAAGTTCTGGATTAAGAACAGTATGTGCTTTTGCAAGTCCACAAACCTCAGGTGAATAACTAATTGTACTATGTTTCAAATTACATTCTTCTCTAACAGGTTTATTGTTCCACTTGTGTTTGTTTTTACCAAATGTACACAGTGTGTCATTGTCATTATTGATACTTTCATTGTCCGAACTAGCACTTTGTTCACTGTTGCTATCATATTCACTTTCAATAGCAAACTCTTGATCAACTTCTGTTTCATCCTCATCGTCACTTGATTCATATAAGATTTCAACAATTGGTTCTATGTTTAATTCTTCAAACATATTTCACCTAGAATGAAATGTTCAATCATGACATGTTTGTTTAATGTTAATGATAGTTATTAAAAGAACCAAACTTACTGAATATATGACAGTGACAAAACAAAAGAAAATATTAATATTATATAAGAATACAATGTATTTGTATATTGTTAAATGTTCATACATGTACAGCTCTTGCTTAATAGCTGATATCATTAATAAATCTTCTAACTTTTAAGATCAAGCTGGGTCATTTTGACCCCACCCTACCATTTGAGGTGAAGTAAATCATTGGTGACCATGTGTTATTAAAAAATATCCCTAGAATAATTGATTTATAAAAGAACTACGAAAATTAATAGTAGAGTAATAATTAACAATATAAAATAACATTATTTGGTACGAATATATGTTTATATCATAAAGAAAAGCATAATTTTATAGTGACAGTAATTACTAAAATGATGTACAAGGAATATATGAATTATTGAACGCTCATGTTATTACATTTATGTACAAAATTACATAAAAGCTTTAACAAATTACTGAAAGCAATTAACAATCATTCTGTATAAACTCTCAAATGGTAAAGTCACTAAATATATAACATGTGGAGGGACTTCGGAAACCAGCGCCACGAGCAGTCAATAATACAGTCAATAACTCAATTTTCTAAATTTTCGAGACAGTATCCCTGTGGCTCGGGGATCAGAATACGGCCACGGTAATCCCTGCCTGTCGTAAAAGGCGACTAAAAGGGAGATGTAATGGGGCGAGAAGAACGAATGAAAGGATTATGATGTCGAGAAAAATATGGTATGAGAAATCTGCTGTACTGACTGTAATGTTGTTTTGGGCATATAGAGGAACTATCTTTCACAAACGCCGCCTTCCGGGTGATTATCAAAAATTTTCCTGGAAAAAGGGTAAGACAACATCTGGGAGGGAACCTTTAATGAACGAATGAACATCAACTATAGCTTTATGCCAGCTTCAAAGCTATATGAATTAGGTGTTTTTTGATACGTGTCAAAACACTTGAAAACGTGTCACAAAAATGTCGGTAATTAAATATAGTTGATTAGACTACAAAATTTCAAGTTACATATTTAAAATCGACTGTTTCCCGCCATAAAAGTTCTGCAACATCATGAATCAAAGTCTCCATGAATTTAAAATTAAACAGTATGATATTTGAAACTATTGATTGACATTGCGTACGATATGAGTACTTTCACGGAAAATCCATTTTTCTTTTTCGTGGATAACGTGCCACCTATTTCTCCTAACAATCTAAAGAATGCAAGAAGGATTGTCGAACTGTCGGATACCGGATGTGACGCTAGGCTCTCAGTATCATCTCTTCTAAGAAAAGCTACACGGTATTATTCTTCGAAATCTGCTAAAATGAGGGCAAACGCAAAGTGGAGATCTCGTTGCGAGGAAAGATTAGGAAATGGAGAAAGATTTCGAGGACAATACGAACAAAATACGATAAATAACGAACAATTATACTTTATGCCTGAAGAGGCTGAAACCAACAAGGTAAATTTATAACAAACTATTAGTGGAAATTAATTCAGGATCTTTTCTTCTAAAAAATCATAGTAACTCCAATTATTGGAATAATCGTTATCGTTATTATATTCTCGTGCCACTTAAGCACTAAAGACACTGAATTAATTTGTCCTTCGTGTGTTCTGCAGAATCATTGGCAAGAATATTCTACATACGAAGATAGGGATTTTAGAATGAACTCAAGGATAACACCGGAAAGATTGCGTCACAATACTAACCGTTATGATTACCCTAACCATTCACAACTCCCTCGTTTCAATTACTCCAGAAATAATTTTGGAATTTACGATCAAGAAACGTTTCATAACAGAGGAGGAAGTAGGTTCATGGATTACCCGAAAGATTTCAAAGAAACCTCGCGAAATTTAAACGGTCACAAAGACCATTGGCAAAGAGATAATAACGAAGATATCCACACCAAAGTTTTTCATGATTCTTCTCGATATAATTCGAGGGAAACAATGACCAATGATCGTCGAAAAAGAACGCAACCTACCTCCAAAATATTTTACGAAAACGCAGAGAGCCAATACGACATTCAAACTTTTCAAAATTCCGCCTGTATGACGAGCAAAGAAGAAATATCGAATCCCAGTCGATCTACAGAAAAAATTAAACAATTTGTGGATCGCGCGGTCGATAAAGACAGTTTATCTGATATTGTAGACGAGTCCAATATAGCTACAGCGCCCTCAGTAGTCAAAGATGAAGGAAATCAAATAAGAAACAGTTTCTGGGAATTTATTTCACTGGAGGAGGATAATGATAAGAAAACTAAAAGACCTTCATGGCCTTTGAAAACAAAACGTTTGACGAAAAGTGGGAGTAGTGATCCGAAAACCAAAAAACGAATGGAACAAAGGAGTATTCAGAATATTCCCTCTAATAATGTGGCTGAGGACGTTGTTGAGAACATTACTGACAACAATAAAGTTGGAATGAATTTTATGGAGAAAACAATGGCATGTTTGAAACGTAAACTGGATAAACCAAAGGTAGAGGAACCTTTGAGTCAGAGTTATACCTTATCGACGGAGAAAAAGATTCGATCCCAAGGATCCACTCACTCCAGGCTGCCGGTAAGAATAGGAGGGCGCCATAGGTCAAAGAATCCAGTTGCAAGGATTCGAAGCAATGTGAAAGAACATACGGTTGGTGAAGAAGAAAATAAAAATACAGCTGGGTTGGAGCGAAATTCAGTCAGATCCCGGACCAAACCAAAGGAGAAACCAAGTGTCTTGCAAAATGAAGACGTTGTGGGTCCTCTTGAAGCTGCAGAGTACTCCAAATCAGTGGGACATGTCCAGCAAACTACAGGTATTAATAGTTGTTTAAATAGAAATCAAAAAGGAGACGAGAATTTCATTGAAAATAACGTTAGTGATGAATTGTATGATGAACAGTTAATGAAGGATGAAAAATTGGAAGGTAATGTTAATAATAAGGTAACTGGAGATTCAACAATTATAAATGTAACACGTGGAAAGAAAACAATTAGAAGAAATAGCCTAGCGAAAGAAATAGATATTTCAAGAGATGGTTTGAAAGAGAACTGTTTTTTCCATTTACACGATGAAGACAATATTGTTTGTAATTCTTATTGCAAAACAGATTGCAACAAATTAGATTGTTTGGAATCCACGAAACCTACGGCAATCAAATCCCGATTGTAATTAGGTAAATTGAAACAATTAATTATATCGTAACGGAACAATATTTTTTCATTAAAAAACGAATATTGAAAAAGCTTTAACGTGTTACATATTATAAATTACTGACAATTAAGAAATGTGTAATTTTATATATTTTCTACTGCTGAAAATTATAAAAATAATGCTTCGTGAATTGGCGCGCAATTCAATAGAAGATATTACTGGCGCCATCTAGCAAGGAATAGCAAAACCTAGGAGTAAAAAGTTAATAAAAATAAGTCTAATTTTTTGTTGCTAGATGGTGTTAGTAACACTATTAAAAACCGCACAGTGATATAAAATTTAAAAATTTGGAGAAATTCGATTTGCAGAATATTTTTAACTTATTTAATTAATCATTACACAAATTAAATAGTTATAACATTTTGATTAAGAATTTAAAACAATAGTACTTGTGGTATTCGATAGAGGATCTAATTTCTATATTTCATATTATTACTGATTTCTTTGAGTCACTTTGAAATTTAATTAAAGCTCTTATAAATTAGTATATTTTTCCAGCGAACCAATGATAATGAAAAACTGCATAGCATTTTAGAAGTCCTGTAAAATGATAAAAAACAATAGAGATTCTTTTCTACGCATTCCACTTGAACTGTTGCGAATATTGACGTATTGATAGAAACCGCGAGTGTATAGGAGCGTAAGTACAGATGTAGAAGGCGTATTGTAGATCTGTGACCGTAAAGGGGCTGCAGCATGGGTTACCTCAAAAGAAGATCCCGAATGATACCAATTATGTCATCAACGCACCATGTAGTCCCCCGGCTCGGTTCATTCACTGTCACGCTACGGATTTCGCCCGCATGTCAACCCCTGCCTGTCTTTCCACCCTCGTGTTCTTTGCCCCATAATATGCCCTCTGCTCTGTGGGGGATCTACGCAGTCTCGAAATCAGAAGAAAAATACGTAATTGTCTCGAATCGGTCGACGGAAATGCAAAATGATAAAGATAAGTATACCCACTTCAAAAATTCATTGTCTTTAAGACGTATACGGAAATATAGATTACGTTCGCGCGAGACAAGTGGCGAAAGTGTTAAGAAGAAAGGAAGAAAGACAGATAGAAGGTGGTAGGAGAGAATAGAAATGAGGAAAGGAGGAAAGGAGAAGAGCGCGGTCCAACTGGGGGACAGATAATCAAATAACCTGCACGCACCGTATAAATTATCAATCAGGGCGCGATTGTGCAACCCCAACAGAGGGAGAGAGAGGAAGCCGTGTCGGTAAGGGTTGTTACACATCGCCGTTCCAACATGGGGAGAGGAAAATTGTGCGAGAGCTCGTCCTGTCGAGTGACCTCGCAACGGTTATCTTCCCTTCGTGCGTGGGCGCCCGTGGACGTGAGTTCACGCCCTTACTAGCCGACATGACACGTGCAAAGAGGGTTACATGTGTCTAACATTAAAGCCGACCTCTACGCGCCCCGTAACCGTATTGGAAAATTATACTAATCAAATCTGACTAAATAGACGCGTTTGTCTTCGACGTAATTTCAAAATATTTTCTTGACACTTTTGATAATACTTGGTTGATGAATCTTCAGAATTATAATTTTTATTCTCTATCGTTAATTTAATCGGACATACGTGTTTATTTGTTGGAAAAAAAATTACGTGTCAAAACAGAGAAGGGTGGAACGTGTACAGTGTACACAAGCATGTTAACTAAGGGGGTGATACTATTATACCCTGACTCGTGAGCGTGGGTGTACGTACACGTAAATTCACGCCCTACATTCCAGTCTGACACGTGCAACGGGATAGACACAAGTTGCCCCGAAATATCCGAGCCGAGCAAGGTAGATGAGCTACGATGCACGTGCACGTCGCACAATAAGCTGGAATCGCATTAATTTACAGCTAAAGTTACGTTCAATTTTTATCTTTTCATTCAATTAGACTGGGTGGTCTTGCGAATTATTGTATTATTTATTTTGAACGTCGAGTAAGATTCCTAATTACGCGAGACGTTGAAACGTATGATTAAAAAAATAACTTATATCTATTTGATGAACCACCATGGAATCGCACAGACGAAATCAAAAGTAAGCTTTTTCTATGGATTTAAACGGCTCAGAAAACTGCACGCGTATCAGAAGCGACGATCCGAAAACAGCACGTTGAGAACGTGAGAACGTTTCGAACATAGTACGATGCACAATCGTGCACTGCCTGCGGCTATGGGAAACTATTTAGTCTCCCTCAGGATCCTTTATCTTGGCGCGTGGCTGCGTCTTTCAACGCGTGCATTGCGCTTCGCGAAGCAGACGATTGCACACCCCTGAATTTTAACGTTTTATTTTCTTTGCTTTCTATCGTGGAAACCTAATCTTAACCGAACCCTTTATATCACCATGATCTTTTCTATAATAATTTAAATTCCTAATTTAAGGGCGGGAAAATCGGTTGATTCGAAAAGAAATTTGTGTAGCCGATATTTATCGCGATCGCGAGAGTAAACGCCTGGGGCGTTTATTTAATAAGTTGTTATAAATTACACAGCTACCGCATATTAAACCATCTTCGACATATTTATAGTGATTCTTAAAGAAAGTACGCCGAACGGTACGGATATGTAAATCATTGGCCCGGCTATTCGGACCTTATTCACATCGGCGTACGCGTATGATCTTCTCCGGTATCTTTTGCCCTCCTGCTCGCCTCTAAGCGCGTCCATCATCTCCGGCTACCGAAGACTGCTGGGTTCGGCCCTACAACACCCGTGGACACGTTTATGAATTTATCTTCACCGATGAAACGACAAACGGTTTTAATTGCCGCCTCGAGCTACGCGGAGGATCGTTATTCCGTTCCGTTCGGGCCTCTAACAATTTTTAGGCCCAAATGGGAATAACACTCTCTCCCTTATGTTAATGGTAATCGTATCGGTAACAATTTCCACGTTCGCAGAGAATCAGTGGAAAATTACTGTGCACGAAATTGGATCGTTTGCCGACAAATGGTACGCGACAATGAGGCCCTGGCTGATCGGATTATCCTGGAAACTCCTTGGACAGGGAACGGAAACTTGTACGTGCGAAACAGGACCGACATAAGGCATTGTTAACCTCCCATGGGACAAACTGCGAGATCAAACGCTGTTAGCACAAACTGTGCCTTTGATTCCCCTCTCCTAACTTCGTTTCACCTCGCCATTTGTTCTTTTTCTCAGTTCTATCGGCGAGCGAGGTAGAAATAAGAAATAAGAAGAAAAAAAAAAAAGGAATCATTATAGTTACGTGGGTACTATAATCCCGTGATAGTCGTGCGGAGAGGACTTAAAGCACGCCGCTCGGTCATAAGTCATTCCCGGAGCAAAGAAAGGTACGAATAGGGTGTTGTGGACGGACGGAGACGGAGAAACGGGAAGAGGCAAAGTGTCCCCGAAAATCCTGAAACCCACGCGGGCCCCGACCGAGTTAATATATTTTATCTAGTGGGATATATCCTCCGGAGGTGGTGGCTTTTATATACCCTGTACGGTATTTATGTGTCGCCGCCTTTCCTAAGCGTTTGATATATGAACTTTCAAAGCCGGATACCCTGTGGGGGACTTTGGAGTGGCGAAAAACACGTGTATTATTTTATAACCATTCGAATTCCATGCAACTTTTCCTTCGCGAGAGCAGCTTCGTTCAGGAAGCTGTCATCCCGGAGTGACCGATCTTCGAAGGAGCAGCCTTCTGGATAGCTTTCGTAATCAGCTATGCAAACGATCCTTGGCGCAATAAAAATTGCGGTATCTATAATGGCGCCGTTAAAGGTTTTTGCTCGTAAACGTTTCCAATGAAATACGCACCAGCCTTGGAAACGTTGATAGATAAATATACCTGACCCTGTATTACACAGGCAGAGAAGATGAGGTGACAGTTAAGTTTCATAAGCGATGCTAACCTTATGACCGTTAATGATAATTATAGCCATTTACCTGAACGTTCCCTTTCTGGATGCACTTTCAGTGCCCGTAACTAGGGTTCTTTATGGTCGATCGGCTGACGTCATAAGACGACGCGCGTGATAATTCTTGGAATACGAAGTCAAATTTTCTACCACGGACCAGTATTTTATATTAGCGGTGCACCGGGTCGTATCGGCACGTTCTCCTATACGAAAAAGGCATTCTTGTCGCGGTGAGCCGACAATGGCGGCCCGTAATAAATTATCAATCGAAAAAAGAAGGAGTTACGGCAACAAGAAGCGGCAACCGCGGCGAGTTACGGTTTCGCATTAAATATGAAATACTGCTATCCGCGTCCCGACGATTCACGCACACCCGGGTCATTCCTGTCTGTGTAGGGTACAGCAAGGTATTAAGTAGTCTTTAATATATTTTAATTGCCATACTCGAGATATCAGAACACCGTCATTCCCTTGTTGTTTATAAAAGTTCATTCTTTTTATCGTCTGTATTTCAATATTTACGATTCTGGTCTATTTTTTAGGGCGATAGACTGCGGTCTAGGGCGGAGGCTTTCAAAATAGAGATCACCAGCTCATTAATATTGTAAATTCCTTTTTAATACGCGTAAATCTAGAGTTTGGACAAGGCCACCTTGGAGACTGTTTTATGGCAAAAGCAGCGGCCCTTGGGGGCAGTCTTTGAGGTTAACCTGGCTCAAATTTACTGTGAAATATTTTTATAGTGGAACGGGAAAACCTGAAGGCGTCATAGGACGCCTTAGGCTCAGCATAGGGAGAATGAAAGAAAAATCCAATTAATTTAATAATGAAATTTTTATTTGAAACGAACTGTAGACGGTTAAATACACAGACGAAGGAGTTAACAAACGAACGAACACAGATATGTTGTATGATCTTTGGATGAGTTAGAGGGTCAGGTCCAGTCGTCGGTGCGAAGTCAGTCACTGATGGTGCTGGTATGACGTGGTAAATTATTTATTCACCGGCGACTGCGGGTGAATAATGGATGTTCCTTCGCCGCGAATGGCACCGAGAAACGTTATTGATCACCGAAATATCAAAAGTAGGCGTATCCATCACCGATGGACCACCATACGCAGCTGTTAAATGTACGCGCGTACACGGACGGACGGACGGACAGAGGAACGGACGAACGGACGGATGGAATGCATCGGTACCGAAGCTTGTTCCGACAATAAAATCGATTTTTCATACCCAGGCATTTATCATACACCCGCGATAATAGGTGTGTATGGAGTATACGATATAAATATTTCCAGGTAAATAATCGTTAGCTTTCGAGTAGCCGAGTGTGGAGAGAGCATTAATAACATCGGTGTCCTTTTTGCGTGTTACAACGAATTGACAGCGTGCTAGAATCCTTCGTTACCAATACTCGAGCCTGTTATTGTGTGTAATAACCTTCCACATCCTTGTTTGACCACGTTTCTCTTCGGCCCGAGGGTATACGCGTCCATCTGTACCATAGTTTCTGGGGAAAATTTGAATGCCAGTTTTCTCGCGGTCAAAGTGCAATTAGCACCCCGCTGCTTTTCAAAAGAGGCTGTTGCGGTACTCGACGAGCGTTTAGCGCCCTTTTGTCAAATCAATCGGTACAATTTTTCGCGTGGCTTGAGATCGAGGAGCATATTATTCACAAGTAGTCGACTGGTTAGTTACCGGGTATTAATTGATTTTTGTTTCCGCTAGGGGTTGAAAGATCTATTATCGAGCGGTCTATCCGGGTGAGCCATCTTCAGAGTGAAGAAATGATCAATCCAAGCTGGAACAATCAATCGTAAATAAATGAATGCGAACCGACGGAAAGTCTGTTTCCGGTCGAAACGGTTCGTAGATCGGAGCTGGTTGTTGGCGAGTTGAAATAGAACCGGGCAAACTCGTAACGACGTCCGTGACAAATCCGCGTCGATTAATCTCTGGCAAATACACAAGCTCGCCACGGACCGTGTCCGTTTCTGTTTATTAGCATCGGTAGACACCGGTCATTTACAAGGTGTAACTATGCGGCCAGGTGGCCGATAGTGAAACTCGACCGACGAAAAAGCACCAGGAATAATCCCCAGCTGAGCCACTCGCCTTCCTCGGTTTCTTATTTTTTTTCTCTCTCTCCTTTTTTATTTTTTCCCTCCTACGGCGTTACCTCTTCATCTTCACCCGTGCGCATGCCACGGATCGGGTCCCTCCGACCCATACTACCCACGGATTCGGGAATAATTACACGATCAATAGGCTAAATATCTCTTGCCTCAATCACGTGGATAAACGGAGGCGCATGGTAAATTGGATTACCGACGTCAAGGGACAGCACCCTGTTTGCTCCTCATCGCCCTCTGTTTTTGATGAAAACTTAAGTACTGTTCACATTTGAATTTTAATTTTCCTTACATCGCCATTTTCCCTAGAAAAACCCTCCATGCTCTATACTGTACACCTCCATAAGAATTTTACCTTATCGCATAAAATTTTCTACACGAAATAAATAAACAAGCCAAAACTCGTACATCATCCACCTGCTTGTTTCACAGTTGAAAGCTGGAAAAACTATCTCGGCGTGGAGTATATTTGTTGACCGTAAAGCTGGTCGCGCCACAAATCTAGCGATTTCGTAGTCAGGTGTGTGCATACGTTACCAGCTAAACGCGTTCAAACTTATGCACTGAACATACATACGAGTAAGCGTGAGTTTAATCTACTAACGGTAACTAACCCGTAAGCCCGGCGAGGACGGTGTCAGACTAAAGGGGATCGAGGATAAGAGATGCAGTGGACGAGGAACGAGCAAGGGATATCCATGCGAACCTCCGAGAGCTCGACTTAAAGGCTTCGGATTCTTATTTCCCCATAAATAATTTTAATGACGCGCCGCAGCAGTTCAGGTATAGGGCGAAGTTATGCGAGACCCTGTACCTGTACCCAGACTCGTATTGTTATTTATTATATTCGTCGCACGTGAATAAGAACACGCTCAAGAGCTCAATGTCGTTGGTTCGAGTACATTTCTGAATCGGCCAAATAGAAATCTATTTTTTATCGAAAAAAATCGTACGAAGCGTCTGAAGAGAAAGATTTTCGAGAATGATCCTACGCACGGAACGCGACCAATCAAAAAAGAGTCGCATTGCTCATAGAGCGGTAGTGAAGGCGCGCGTGCGCGCGGTACTCCTCGTGGCCGCGAGTAATTTCGCGAAGTTAGGCGGGTCGGGAGGTAGGCCAATCGGAAACGGCGCGACGGTCACGCCTACCGAGCGCTCTCGGCCACGCCCACTTCGGAGAGATACGATAGGAAACGGGTCGTGGTGCGGCAGTTCTGTGTGCCGTGTACCGTAGCCCCGCTCGGGAATTACATTATACCGTCGAGCGCACCGAGTCCTCGAGCCATGCTGCGCTCCTCGGGCGTAGCTGTCGCTTGCCCGCGCCTCGTGTGAACGCGTTTATTTGCCTCACGATGTATTTGAGACTACAAATTACACGAGTGTGATCGATATCTATCAATCAACAAACAGAGATCCTTTAACCAACCTCCAACGGTGTGGAAGTGTCCCAACTACTGCGACGACAGAATCATGAAGGTAAGTGTTTTTATTTTTAATTATAAACAAGGTAATATCTTAGATGCATGGCGAAGGGGCTTGATGAGGCTGACGAGTGTTGGCGGACAGCTGCGATCCCGGAATCTCGCGAAATCTTAAGGGAGAAATAGTTCTAACTGATGGACTATAAAGCATACTCACAAAAGCATACGTATCTGTAAAATCACTTCACGTCCCACGCGAAAGGATCTTACAAGATGGCATCCACAGTGCGTGTGTGGTCCATTAAATTGTCGGTGTAAGGCGCAAAATGGCGCATCAGGTTGATCCGATGTTATACGACGACGGAAACCTGTCGGGATCTTCGTACGCTGAAATAGACAAGTATTTGTCGCCGATCCCATAGATCGTAATTCCGGATCATCCGTTTTACCTCGGACACCAGGCCCGGCATTAATCTTCGAAATCCCTCGGGTTGATTCCACTTTATAATACGCGAAATCTGTTTTCGCCGTCGAATGGATCTGCTAAATCGAGTAACGCGATCGGTTTCGACACCGTTATTAGCGAGGAGTTTCTTCCTAATCTTTTGGCCCATTCAATGTAACAAAACGGTGGAGAAGCGGAGGAACATTGTGTCGGAGGGAAAAGCAGGAATCGGATGGCGATCTAAATAGATTTCGAGTGGTTCTCCCGAACGGATTGTCCATTGTACCTGCGGGGGATCGTTTCATCCTTGGTTGGAAGGCGAAGGCGTGAAGAGGCTCGTGCCCTTCGTGGGCACAGCCACTCGAAAAGCCACTGGAAACACACAAAAACCGAGGCATTATTTTCGCCATTCCCTTTCGAACGTTCGGCTGTGAAAGAAGGATACCCGTAGCGGGCCACTTTGTCAACTTGTCACCTGGGCCCGCAAGATGCGAAAGAAAACGAACGAAAGACCCTCGTTCTTGTTCGCACCAGGAAGTCTTCGCTGATCTTTCTTCTTTTTTTTCCTTTCGATCCTTGGAGCCTTCGGTTTTCTCCTCGCTTTTGTTCGTAAAATTGTTTCTTAAAATTGCCTTTAACATTTAACTCCTGGTATCTTTAATTAACATTCAAACGGGATCAATCGAGAATCAAATACAGAATTAAATTACAATTGGGGTTCTCTTCATGGTCCGCCGTCCGAGGATTAATGCAAATCTTGCGTAAGATGGGTATAAATAACGGAGTTTAATTGAAACAATGATTAATAGAGTTGCTTTAATCGAAGTAATAAATTCCTCTAACGAGAACTTGTAATGTAGCTACCTTCTCGGATCCAGGTTGCAAAGCGTTCCTTTCTAATTGGTTCGTGTAAATGTTGAACTTGGAATTGAATGTTATCCATAAGATTTGTATAAGTTTTAAATGAAACGGAGTAGGGAGATTCGTTGAGGATTTTCAAAAGTGGCCCTCTTTGTCGTCGTTATTACCTAGACCGAGCGATGTTAGCACGATGGTAGACAGGCGTCGGAAGGGAACGAAGAAGTATCGGTTTCAATGGACACCGTGTCGTAGCCGGAAAGTGACACGAAGCCGCGAATACCGTAGGAAACCCCATAGCGAGACCCCCACAGGACCTCCCGTCGACAGGCTTTCAAGTTTGAAAGTCATACCCTGGTGGTGCCTTTCCGTCGACAAGGGGATCGAAACCGAAACCACTCGAAAAGGCAGCAATGGGGCCTCATGGTCATTCTGAATAGAGGCGTGTACTCTATGGATGTCTCTTTGACCATGCATTCAACGATTTACCTTTGTGTAAATATGGCAATAAGAACGAGTCAGGATTTACAAATCAGATTATGGGTATCAATTCCATTGGATTCGCAAAAATGTCTGAATGAACCCTTTCTGTTGGGCCATGGAGAGAGTCCCAATTTTAATATAATTTTGTATCAGGATAAACATAATTTAATATATACATTCATTCTTTATTTCGATGATAGACATCATACATTTTAACAAGGAAACTTAAAACCAATCATTTTGACTGGTTTGGTAGTTCTAGTGTTAGTCTAACAATAAGATCTAGAGTTATTAAAACCAAGATTCAATTTCAAAAAATTTCGTATCTCCAATTGAGTATCAATTAATTTTTAATTTTGATATTCTGCTTCTAAAAAGGCTGAAATACGTTCCTTGCTTCCCGGATATCATTCTCATAATAAACCCCAAAAATCACGCCCCTGTCAGGTCGCGTAAAGTTCAGGGTGAGTATAAATGGGAGGGTAACTCGTGGGGCTGGTCCTGTATGACGAGGATCTTACAACACACGCATTCGGTGTAGGCATACCTACGGGCCTGCAGGTATTACGTTACAATGCCTTTATGTAACTCCCGTGTGCCACCATTGTGGATCTCGTTGTGACGTATGGTTAACCACCAACCATAACCAACCAAATGTTCGCACGTTCTAAACCGTGTACCTATTCTCCTGCGTGTTAGGAATAGGGCGAGAGAGTGGGGATGAAATTTGGAGAAGATAATTTTTTGTTTTAGAAAAGTAATACTAGCACTCAAGTTTCTATTTCTAAATCTAAATTAAAAAGCTTCCAAATTTGTCCCTTCTGTGGTCTCAAACCCAGTTCTTTACCTCCTCCCTTTTTCCAAATCAAAATAAAATATCCTAATCACCAGTCAACATCATCTAATTTATCCACTATCAACAACCGATCATTTGAACGAGGCAAACAATTGATAAAAGAACAATCCACCCCTCCCCGTTCGCCGCAGGAGTTTATTTACCCGGCACGCCTCCCTCGTTCGAAAATCATTTAATCCACATGGTGGTCGGTGTAACGGTGGATTCAACACCAGTCACTGTAACAAGGCCGCCGACATAATGACAGAGATGTTCGGAAACGGCTGGACGCCTTGGATGCCCATTTACTCGCCCCATTGGCGTACACGGTCCTCGTGGAAGAGACTACAGAAGGGATGTTAGGGGTGGGTTCGAGGTAGGCCACATATATTAACACCGGTGGCAAGGGCTTGCGTGTACAACAAAGCCATCTGTACACCAAGTCACGGGCATAACGTGTCACCATTTTAGAAGGGGGATGAAGAGGACTGGATACGTGTAACGTTCCACGGGTGGTGCCCTTTTTCGCTTGACCAGCTGCCTAGCCGGCTCTACCTTTCATCCTTAGAATCTCCGGTGATTTTCATGATCTCTCGAGACATGGACGGAGAGTTTGAGGAAAATGAGGGTTCGATGGATTTTTGAAAAGGTGGACAAAATTGTAAGAAACTCTGAATATCATCAGGACCAGGGTTAATAATGCAAAGTTTTAATACCTAGAACTTTATTTCGATAAAATTAATATATAAGGCACTCTGAAAATTAATTAAAATCGGGGCTCTTTCCATGGTCTGCCGTCCGAGGATTGAATCAAGTTATTTTATATATTGTTATTGAAAAGTTTGCAACGTATCGACGGGTTTGAAAGAGCAGGAAAAGATGCTTGAATAGCAACCATAGCAAACTACTTTGAAACAGATTGATCGGAACAGACGCATCTATCAAACGCGCCACAGCTTTCGTGTCAAGCACATCCGACAGATTCTATATGGGATAGGGTGACACAATACAGCACATGGGAAACCCTGACTTTGTTAAATTATTACCGAATCCATTTTTTTTCCTCGCATACAGAACGATCGTGCGAAACTCTTTCGTTTAAAAATTTTAAATTATTTCGTAAAAGAAAACGAAACGTTCGATGTTATGATGTTTTTGTTGCAGACGGAAGTGGAAGACATGCCGAGCGACGGCGTATGCGAAGGTACCGGTTCGAATCTGGCCGTTGCCGAAAGCGCAGGTAGCCTAATAGGACCGGAAGTGTCGCCGACCGGCATGGAGTGCGGCGGTTGTGGAGAACGAGTTCGCGAGCGTACAGTTTTATGTGTCGGTGGCCGAACTTGGCACTCGAGGTGTTTAAGGTGTTTCGCCTGTGCCAGGCCTCTGCACGATCAACATTCTTGTTTCCTGAAGGGCATGAGACTGTATTGCAGGCACGACTATGCTCTGTGAGTGACACACTCATTTATTTCATTATTAGTCATCTCGGGATGGAGTCGGGTCGGGAATTTTATCCGAGTTCGGGCAGTATCCCAAAACTTTGTTCAGCATGTAAATTTGTTTGAGTACCCGTCATTTGGGGACCTGAATATAAACTCGGGATCCGAAACTCAATTACATCCGATAATATACGATAAGGAGAAATTCAGAACATTTTTATTTTTAACATTTTGATAAGAAATAACCGATTTGATTTTCTATAATTTAACAGTGGTCTAGCAATTATACGTACATATCTCCTAAGATAATGTAGGTATTATTTTAATTTCGTCGAAGCGAAATTGTATTATTTTTGTCTTGTAAATTGACATTTCGCAATGACACGAACGTTCTCCGAGGATAGAATGTCTTTGAAGAGTCAAAGTTGGTGTATACGCGGGAGGTCCTCAGGAATTCGCCGTGTAACATTTTTGACTGGTACTTTTCGCCTCGTAATGCTGCCTTACGATGACCTGGTCGACAGGATCCATGAACCGTAGACCCGTCGACAAGCGACTTGAAAAAGAAACGAAGCCACTTTTTGGATCTACGCTTCGGACTGCGTGATAAATGATCGAGAAACTATACCGTTGCGGCAAGAATCGAGGACACCATCAATATGATCTAATTAATACCATTGATAGACTGATTAATACTGTTTGAGGTGTTGTTAATCTTTTTAAAATTCAAAAAGAGAATTGAGATAAGAAGCTTCTAGTAGAGACTAATTTTCGTTGTTTTCAAGAACAGGATTTTAATAAAGGAATCCTGTAGTCCGTCGCTTAACATTCAAATCCCTTCCTAGAGATTTATGTGGGCGAGAAAACTCTTGCAACCATCGTGGATTAATACTTTGCTAAGAGACAATAGGATTAAGATGCACTCGTTTTCTGACCGTCGCCAACGCATTTTTGTTACCATTTTTGCTACCAAAAATCTAGAAATATATCCTAAAATACGTATGCAAGATGTTTCATACGAAACAATTAGTTCCATTAGTACGTAGCGTAGGTTGGAAGTAAATGGTGCAAATATGTCTGGACCGTGCAAGGAATGCCCTCTTAATCCTGAAACGCAAGGAAACAGCTAGTATTGCTAGTCGTGGATCTAGGCGTCTGATACTTTCAGTGGTATGGGGTGGTGGGGCCACCAGGGTAGTCGCGTGGCCCCATAAGATATCTTCCCGATGGACGTAGAGGGACGAAGGGGTTTGCAAACACAGCCTGTATAAACAGCTAGGTGGATCGTTGCCGTAGGAACCGGACGAGGAATCGGGATGCACTTTCCGTGTTCATGAATATGATAATGGGCTAATGGCCACTAGTCGTTGTTTAATTACCGGTCGCAGCAGCACACAACCGACCACACCGGACCCAGCCGTGAAGTCACACACCGTCGTGCTTCTGCTTGTCGTTTAGCAACCGATCCTCCTCCTGGTCGCTCCTTAGGATTCTCTCTCTGTGCAACCATAACACCCACCGTTCGTCGAGCCATTCATCTGGCAGAGCGTGCATGTGTCGTGTAGCATGCTCGTGTCTTGCCGTTACACGGCTACCGTTTACAACGGCCTAGCTCCCAGCTTTTTCACCCAACACTACCTCTGACTTACCTTAAGACTGATTTCGATTAGACTTTGTTCGAAAATGAGAAAGGATTTAGAAGATTTCGTTTCTAACGATTCGATGACAAATAACCGATTTGAATTTGCTGCCATTTCTTCCACTTGTTATTAGTGATAAGTGTTTTGGTTAAAAATCAGTTCGAATATATTAAAAAAGTAGGTAATTGTAAATTTTATTCGCACTCTAAAAGTCTGAAATCTTTTGAAATATCACTAATTCTTGAAAATCAAGAACCTCCTTTCCCCTCTTTCTTATCTCGCAATGTCAGTCGGTTTCTCCTTTTGCTCCTTTTATCCCAGTGTCCTCTTCGCTGGCGCACTGGCTGCGTGAGTTTACATACACGCGAACACACTGCTCGGCTCGCGCTTCGAGGTCCAGGACTCATTTATTTGTCAGAAGAAGGACTGGTACAGGCTGGCTGGTTCTAGGTAAACGTTCGTTCGTGCACGACGCGTTATCTAAGAGCGTGGCGAACCACTCTCTCATGGGAAGTACCAACTATTTCTTCGAGTACTCTTTGTGAAATCAAAATGGTAACATTTATTACGATCCCTTGTGCGATCCCAAAATTAGATTCTAAGTAAAGATGTCCATCTGGCGAATGGTAATGTCTTCGATCGGCAATCTAACTTCTTCCTTAACCGTGAATCATCGTGACATCAACGAATTAATATCTCAGCCTCGTAAGCCTATTGATCGTCGAAGAAATCCGCGAGGAGTTGCGTTTTTCTCCAGGGGCGAGGCTTATCGACACCTAAATGCGTGTACCAGCGTTGAATGCTTTTTACCGGTCGCTGCGGATGCATTTGTTAGATGAGAGGATGCCGTGGAGACTAAATCCTTCTGCGGGCTTCCTCCGTTGAATTTATTGGCGCCATTGCAGCAGGTGGTCACGCGTGTTGCGTGCTTGAGAATTCTTTACGATCGCCGCGGATTTCCCGGCATGCCAAGCCGTCGTTAATCATCAAGATTACGGATGGAAAAACCGTGCAGTTTTATCGATACGAACATCTATTGATACGGTTAACCCTTTCGCTGCGAATAGGACGATAGCTTGTTAGTTTTTTTTTCTGACATTATTATTTTCTGTTGGCAGAACCTTCGGAGCGAAGTGCGCAAAATGTGGCCGTAGCGTCGGCGCCGGTGATTGGGTCAGAAGGGCCAGGGAGAGGGTTTATCATTTAGCTTGTTTCGCCTGCGACGCCTGTTCGAGACAATTGTCCACGGGCGAGCAATTCGCCCTTCTGGATGCCCGATTGCTGTGCAAAGCTCACTACCTGGACGTCGTCGAAGGCAACAACACCTCTTCCGATGGTGAGACTACTAAATTGCGCGTAATTCCGGGTGGTGGTTTACATTTAAGATTGGAGGGTATATTAGAATCGAGAAGGAAGCGGAGGATAGGGCACCCCTAATTGGCACTTTCGCAGAAGGCGGTGACTCGGAGAGCGGCCACAAAAGCGGTAACAAGGCGAAGAGAGTGAGAACCACCTTCACCGAGGAACAACTATCGGTTCTTCAGGCGAATTTTCAACTGGACAGCAATCCGGATGGTCAAGATCTCGAGAGGATAGCACATGTTACCGGACTCAGCAAAAGAGTTACGCAGGTTTGGTTCCAGAATTCTAGGGCAAGGCAGAAGAAGCATCTGCACACGGGCAAAACGAAAGGGCAACATGGTACTTCTTGCCTTTGTTTCTTTTAATAATTTTATATCGCATAATATCTACATTCAACTTTCATTTTACTAGTCAAAATAAAAATATTCGAAAGTGCGTTTCAAATCGCCCGCGCTTTCCTTTATCTTGGATTCGCCGAGACAATCGACCAATTAGAACGCTGAAAGTTTACCTATAGCAGTATGGCGGAAACAAGGAAACGTTTACTGTTATAGTTCATCAATCACCTCCGAATTCGACAACGTCCACGGGCGATTTCGGTCGGCACATCAATTTACATTTGACCTATTCTTTTCAACATCAACAACAACACCATCATACCCAGCAACAGCCGCAACTGAGTCCGGTGTGCAAAAGTCCCACGCCTTCCATTTATCATAACCATGGTAAGAATCTTTCAAATCAATCATTGCGATGTTATTTATTAATTTAACAATAAATCAGGATTTCGAAGAGTCTTAGGGTTCCTCCGATAAAATTAGATTATTTATTTTATATTATTTATTATTATATTAATATTCTATAGAGGTTAAGTCTTGACTCTTGAGTCTTAAGTTAATGATACTTAACGGAGTTGGAGTTCTTGCAAATATCTTAAATATGAAAAATTACGAAAAAAGAGAAACCAAAGTTTTGCTTTGAAAAGGTCTACTCTCTATCGCAACTCCGTCAACTCTGTCTTCAGGCTCGGAACAATCAATGGACGAACTGTCGCAAGATTCGATGATGTTGTCGATGCCGAACGAGGTTTAATCGTCGTTACTGGATTAGCTGTATTGTAAATACTCATCATCTTAGCGTTAAGGTTTTTATTTTTGGGTTTCATGAATCTTTCTCGGTGAACGCGTTTTATTCCACGGTGACAGAACTCACGTTAGAACCGTCCCGTTTATGATTAATATAAAACGCATAGAGTATGTACAAAGTTGATAGTTTCCGTCGGTTTAAGTATCTTTAAGTTAAGTATAGCGTTTGTGAAACGTTCAGCGGATACGTACTTGACGAGATAAGTATTTATTTGATAGATTGACCCGTTTCTATGAACGTAAAAATCCGATGGTTTACAAATCCGCCCAACATGTTAATTAACATTTCCAGCAGAACTTAGAGACAGCAAATTTCAAGACTGGTTGACAGTACAGCTTTATCTTGCGCTTGATGTTAAGCTTATTATGAATGAGTGAGTACATTTAACATTCCATGTTACGCATGAAGAAATACGCGTGCACCGGAAGTGAGTTGTAAATCCTTTTTTACTCGATTTTTTTAATAATCGATCGACGGAGATCGATTCGTTGTTTTGATTCGATTGAAATTATCCCTTTCTAAGAATTAATTTTTGAGGTTAGCAAATAAATTCTTGAATTATTTATTGAAATTTCATGAGTGAAGGCCACTCGAATGTTTTGTGCTAAATTTTTTAATTTTTTACGACAGGATTTAAAAATTTTAGTAAATTTAATTGGAAAGGGTTAATGGAGACCGACATTGTATAAAATGCAAGCAGACGTCTTTCGTGGTGGTAATGAAGCGATAAATATAATTTTCGCTTACAAAATATTCCACTTTCATTAATTTTGCGAAATATCCTGATGTAATCAGGTTCGAATAAGATTAGCGCGGTGACGTAATAACATATGGAGGCTGCCATATTGTTTCAATAAAATTTTAGCTCTCTGATTGGTTAATTTCGAAACAAAAGAAAGCACGTGCAATTTGAATTGCAATTTCAAATATTTTAAATTTTCTGAAACGCTGATCAAATTAGCCAATCGAAAAATTAATATTTTACCTAAAAATAAATAATATGGCCGCTCGATAAATTCTTACGTCCGTGGATTACGAAGAACATCCAAAAGCAATGTTCCGAATGAAAGTATCTTTTACAGTATTTAGATAATTGTGTAATCGTGAAAGGATCATTATTTAATATACATGTACTGTGATGTAAATATTGTAAACTAAGTATATATATATATATATATATATATATACAATATAAAATATGTTGCACATAACTTACAACTTTTTTTAATATTCTTACCTTTTTTTAAAAGTTGATTTTATTAAATTCCTATTAAAAATATAATTTTATTATTTATATTGATGTGAGTTATGGGTTGAACAATGAAAAATGATACGATTTAACAGTAAAAGACATTTTTATTAATAACAGTACGGTTTACAGTATTGCGGAAGTGGGTGTACAATACAAGGGCGATATCAAATACTCATGCACGATTTCCTTATAATTTATATACAAAAGCTACAGGATATGTCTATGTACAATTTCATTTGAAAATTAAAATCTACTATAAGAAACAGATGGTTTAGAATCTATGGTGATCTGTTTATAAATGTTTTGGAAAATGTACAGATTCCTTTTTGATCTGATTGCACTTTAACGTGGAAATCAAGTTGAGATATAAACTACAAGCTATTACAATGAAAACGGAATAAATAAAACACCACGGAATTTATCCTATTTATATTATCACCTTTGCTTCTCGCTCCATTTTCGAAACAGTCCTTTTTGGTATATACAGAAAAACAGAGAACCATTCGAAATACCAGGTTTCTTTATCCCAGAATCCAAGGAGGGTTTCAAGTAATAAAATAAATTGTAAATAAATTGAATTTTATCCCTCCTTGAGAACTTAGGATCTCACAGCGTGTTGGAGTTTTTTTTTTAACAATGATATTTGTAATTTTCAAATAAAATTACCCCGTTTGATGACAGAACTGGGTCTGAAGGTGATTCGGCGTGGTGGGGGTTAAGGGCGTTAAGGGGGTGAGCGGTGTCAATGGACTCCCAGGACTTTCGCTTCCTGCGCTACCACCCTGATATCCACCCAAATAGGCGCCCACCATGTTCACTCCAGAGGGATAGAACTCTCCTGGATGATGCTGCATCGGTGGCGAATGGTGCACTGGGCATGGAATTAAATCTTCTTAATGATATATCTACGGGGATATTATTCAAAGTGTGAAATATGGAAGAGGTGCAACGTAGATATCTTTATATGGAAATTTAAGAAAATTTTAAGCACTAAAAGAAATTCAAATATGCTGATCAATGAAAGGGACATAAGATGTTTTTTTATGAAATTCCCAAGATTTCAAAATTAAGAAATTCCAAATAATTATAAATATTTATAAAATTTTCTATTAATTGGACTTACGAATATTGAATTTCAACCAATGAATGTTCATACACTCACTCTGCGTCTTAATCTTTCCGCTATGTTTCTTCTGCCTGGCCCTCGAGTTCTGAAACCAGACTTGGGTGACCCTTTTGCTGAGGCCCGTGACATGAGCTATCCTCTCGAGGTCCTGTCCGTCGGGGTTACTATCCAACTGAAAGTTAGCTTGTAAAACGGACAGTTGTTCCTCGGTAAAGGTCGTCCTGACCCTCTTCGTCTTGCTGCCCTTGCCACCGTGCTCGGAGTCACAGTCCTCCGAAGACGAGGTATTATTTCCCTCCACCACGTCCAGATAATGAGCCTTGCACAGCAACCGTGCATCCAGAAGGGCGAATTGCTCGCCTGTGGACAATTGTCTGGAACAGGCGTCACAGGCGAAGCAGGCCAAATGATAAACCCTCTCTCGGGCTCTTCTGACCCAGTCACCGGCGCCCACGCTGCGACCGCACTTCGCACACTTGGCGCCAAAGGTTCTGGAAGGTCGAAAATAAGGAAACTTGAAACAGAAGGATGCTATTTTAGATTCATTGAGGACCTCCGTGCACGCGAGGGAATCCACTGGACCTGTCCTCATTAACATACTACTCCGCCGCTCGATGTCCTTTCGACCACTTCGGGGGCGCGAACCACCGGAATCGGCTTCTCGCGATTCGCCCAACAGATTACGTCCAGATTATCTCGACGTCTCTGTCCCGTTCCCCCCTGGCCAACAAATGACTCGTGGCCTTTGATTTCATACCGACCGGGGAAGAATTAAACGCGCCTTAATTTCTTAAAATTTGTGAATCACCGACAGGTCCAAATACCAACTCCTACAATCTAGCCTCCAAATAACAAGGAGGACTATTTGTAACTGAAAGTCAGAGAGGAGAAAAAGAATAAACGTTTCGAGGGTTTGGTTATTGTATGGAAAAATATGGTAAGCCACGGAAGGATTAGTTGGCGAGGAGTTGCATCGTCATCGGCGTCGCATCGGATATTTTCGGGCACGCCTAGGAGCATGTTGCTCGTGTTACTCTTCAAGGACTGTTTTGCACGAAACGGAAGCTCGGATACTCCTAGAAAATTGGTACAGTTGAAAAAAGGACGAAGAGGAAGGTAACAGGGTCCGTGGAGGTGTCATTAGCATAAATAGTAGCGCCACCCTTTCCTCTTCTGCCGCGTTTACATCGTATAACCGAGAAAAGAGAAGGGTAGACGGTATAACAAGCAGCGGAGAACTGGTTGGTATTGGGTGTCTATAAATCTTCAGGGCCGTACATCGGCTACCAATCGACCCCGCCCTAATTTATTCATTTGTTCTTCCACATAGGCGGGCCCTATAAGTCAAGCAGGGATTAAGTTGGCCGGTATCCGACCTCTGCACCATCCGACTACCATAAAGTCTCTTCGACGTCTCGGCTGCGTTCGAGATCGCGATCTCAGATACCGATAGAAAGTTCGATGAAAATCGAAGAAAATATCCACCTCCCTGGGGAATGCAGATTACCCCGCCAAGTTCAAAGTATTTTTCGCATTTAAGTGCCATTAAGACGGGGAAGATAAAGCGGCGACCGGATTCGAACCACATCGCGAGGTTCGGCCACACTGAATTAAGAGAACCGGAATTTCGGACCTCGGCTCGGACTAATAGAGCGATTTCTGCTCTTTTTCTGACCGTAGGAGGACAGTGTCGGTGAATATTTATTAATTTAAAAGGCACCCGAGTGAAAAGCACCGACCTACGAGGCTGCCTTACGAGGCGAATTCCTTAGAACACTGGCTGCCTTTACTGGTGACTCGGCACCTGTGTTTTCTTCTCCACACTAATTTTACGCTACGCTGGTGGACAAAATTATGAAACACCCCGTTCGACCTTTAACGAGACAAGGGGTGGAGTATTTAAATCGAAACACCTGAGTATCTCCATTATGCATGATTTTATTTCAAAAAATACTCGGAATAAAGTTAGAGTATTTTAACCCTTGAACAGCGGAGTCTGGGTCAATTGTATAAACATATCAGGTGTTGATATGATGCTAAAAATAATTTTTCCTCAAAATTATTTTCTAATGAGATTTCAAGATCATCTATATTTTTTCAAATGGTATTATACACATATCAATTCTTTAAAATATTCCGAGTCAAAAAATATTAAGGTACAATATGAAAAAAAAAAATGAACAGTTAATTTTTGTTATATTGTACCGTGTCACAGAATTGATCTATTCGTTTAACAAGATTTAGACCCAAGGCGGCGCCCGTCGATTGAAAAAGCAGAAACGCTCGAAACTTGTTCTCCCCTTTCCCCTCGAGGGTTCTGTAACCGCGAGAAAAAGTCAGTTGAGATGTCCTTTATTCGTGCATCGGGCCAGCTTCAACGTCACAACGTGACTCGCAGCTCACGCGTGAGCATGCATGGTACACGTATGCCCGTTGACGTGAATAGCCGACTGTACGTGAGGTCCAAAGAAGAAGAAGAAGGTGTAGGAGGGTAGAGGGGACTGAACCGAGAAGACTACATCGGAAGACATTAATCACCCACTGGCGAATCTCTAACACGAAGCCTGTACGTCGATTACGCGTGTACAGATATCTGTTCATCTCAAGGAATATCCGCCACGTGACTCGAAAGCGGAATCCTCTTTCAGTTGGAATTGTTTTTAAGAATTTAGCAAGCTGCTGTCAAGAAACTTTTATATTTCAAATGGAAATATTAACGCTTACGCTGTTACACGATTTGAAGCGTATAGTTGGTTACTAAAAGGTCGGTCCCGCGATATCGCGTGCTTCAACGTCAACTTTGCTTATTGATTTTCGTATGGCATCAATTGGTATTAGGGTAAGCAAGCCAGTAGATGCTTGTGTAAAATAATCTTTTCTTTAAATTTATACATTTTTACCTACAAATCCTACAATAAGGTAATGGTGACTGTAATGATTTCTAGTAACTTTTAAGGACATTTGTTGTTTGCCGTAGGAGGAGCATTTTAGCGAAGTCACGAGGTTATAATCCAGATCGATCCCGAGGGAGCTGTTCGTAGAATCTTTTCAAAGTGACTGCTCGACAGGGTGTCCGAAGATATCAGTTATGCTAGTGTCAGCATACTCCGCGAGAACTGTCCCGTAAGTCGAATAAATGATCGCCCTTTCCAGGAGCTCCTGCGGTAGTAGTCGAGATACGTCCTCTTAAGCTCGGCTTTACTCACCGGTTACATACCAGTGGGGTGTCTCAGAATATTATTGAACTCATCGATAATCCCTCGTGTTGCTTTTAGATTATCGAGACAACTGTCGTGTCCGATCGTCTAGTACCATTATTTCTATCACTGTTAAAGAAACATAACTTCAAAGAGAAATTCTATTACTACCATTACTAAGAACAAAAATATGGAAGAATTTTTTTTCATTTGAGGTTTTGTTTTTGAAAAAATCGACTTTACGGTAACGTTAGGACGCTCTAAATTAAAATTTCCCTAGGATTTCCCTAGACTCTACAGAAACTGAAGAAAAATGGCGGAACAGAAGGTTACATTGCACCATAATGTATGTACAGAAAGAATAATAATTTGAAACAAGTATATCAGACTCCTTGATTGGTCTCGTTCAACGAATAAATATGTGTGTCGAAGATTGAACCTTGGCACGGGGGAACCGACCTTGGAAATAGAAATCACTTGTACTTACAAGGCGTAGTCGTGCCTGCAGTAAAGTCGCATCCCCCGAAGGAAACAGGAGTGCTGATCGTGCAAGGGTCTCGCACAGGCGCAACACTTGAGGCACCTGGAATGCCAGGTACGACCCCCTACACAGAGGACAGTGCGTTCACGAACGCTTTCCCCGCAACCACCGCAATCCATTTCCATTCCATCGTGGGCATCGTTGCTGCCGATGGTTGTACCAATCTTCTTGTTATTCGTCACGTTATTATTATTGTTAGTAGTAGTGTTATTATTGTTGTTGTTTGGACAGAGGATACTGTCAGGGCACTCTGGATCCGTTTCCACCTCAGTCTGCAACAAAATCGCGGTCATTTTATATAAATTACTTACATTATTTTGAAAAATAATTCTGATTATTGTAACAATGTCAACGTCCAATCGTGATAGACGTGAAAATGAAAAATTATCAGTCGATTATCTATCATCAACCACGATTAATTCCTCTTAATTAATTGATGATCCAACGACACGATGCAGATGATGATCTTTTTTTTTTCTCCAACCACGACTGTGTCCAGAGGGGAGAGAAAGTCATTGTCAGTGCGTCCAGATAAACCCGAAGATAATGTGTATCTGATCTGTATGCAACTTTTTCTTATCTCCGTCTCGGTACACGTGCTCTAACGCACACCTGTACACCACACACGCGAGCATAGCCAGTTTCGAGCCGATAATATTAATTGGTACACGAGTAAAGCACAAAGGTTATTCTTTGCCGCACCATCCGGTCATCGGGAGCAATATTTTTCAGACTCGAAGAATATCGAAGTTTCTTTGTCTACCGTCGATATTTTGATATGCAAATAAGAACGATAATTAATAAAATGGCATCGAAAGGTTTGCAATCATAAATTTCATCCCCAATCGACGAATTTACATACGAATCGATGGAATATGCAAGAAAAGAGAGATCCGTTGCACAACCGACACATCAAGAAAGACAACATCGACGACAGCCAATTTCGTAGACGTTACGGTCCCTGTTTCGTTCCGTCTTCATCTTCTCTCCTTATCGCGCCTCCTTCCGTCGGCCGGTAATCATTTCACCTTTAACTGGACGGTCATTGATTTATGATCTGCCGAAGGCAAACTTAAACTTCCCACCTGTGATTTATACCTTCTGGCATTTCGATCTTCCCTCGGAAAGCGAGCCACTCGATTAATACCGTGGATGGGTACATTGTGGCCGTTCCTTCGCTCGATACCAATGGAAGATCGTCTGGTCAAGCGTGACCAATAATGCTCCATCAAAATTAATTCGAATACCACTCAGAATATTTTATTTTCACGGATGAAATTTGTAAGCATAATTTTAGGCAAAGTTAAATTTATTTAATTTTTGTAATTTTTGTAATTCCAGCGTTGTTTTGTAGATTTAACTTTTGCATCCCTTATGGGTTGCTAAGAATTTTCTATTTTCCTTTAGATACCATACACCATTTAACTTAATTTTATTTAATTTCAGTTTTTCAACCCGTTTGGACCGCTAAGAATAATTTATTTCCCTTCCTGAAATATTACACTTTTCTTTCGCAATCATACAAAATTCTTTCGTTCAAAAACTTGACTACCTAATTTTACTCGACACGTCGTATTTCAAATGATAATATTTGATGATTACTTGCAATTCATCACTTGAATTTAAAATGAGTTATCTGTTTCTCGAATTCGTGAAGGTTTACGTGGAAAGAGCGAAGGAATTTTTCAATCGGTTCGACGGGTTGAAGAATGCAATCAGCGAGTAGTTAAGAAAGAATAATAGGAGTCATTTTTTCTTAGCGAACAGTTGGAGGGCGACGGAGATGAGCTGACAAAGTAAGAAATGCACGGGTGAAGAGGTCAAACGGGCTTTACTACCCGACTACCGGATACCGAAGTTCCTCGTACACATCCGATTCGTCACTTCGCTACACCGATGGACGTTTAATGGCACGAGCGACCACCATTCCTGCTGATTTATCGCCCTTATACGTTTCACCAGCCATCGTAAATAATTTTCGTGATATTTCAAAATTATCCTCCACCCTAAAACCGAACTCTTTCTCTAAACTGTTACAAGCGAATATTTTTTAATATTTCACAACCAAAACACCGCGAATTTTAAAATACCATTTTTTTCCTCCAAGCAAACATATCACACCTGTTTACACATTCCGTACGTCCACGAAAGCGTGCTATCTTTGTCAGCAAACAATTGAACGGTTTATCGATGGGTCATTAATGAAGCGTGTAAAATTGTAGACAAAAATAGCACTTTTATTTAATTTCTCACGTTCGATAAATAGAAAGTTATCGGGAACCGTTTGTTAACCTTTGGACGACGGACCATGGAGAGAGCTCCAATTTTAATCGAATTACGTATATCGTATTATTGTTTCCTTAAAAAATATTTTTCCAGTATACGATACGTTTTTATTAAAAAAATTATACATTTAATTTTAAGTTAATACCCTTGTATACGTTCTGTTTCAGTCACCATTGACTCGGGTTCCTCTGTTCAAGGATTAAGAAACACAAAGTTGCTCGACGCTTGTTAATTAAAAACCACCACGGTACGCTCACCTTCATTTTTCCTCGATCTCGCAATCTTCTGATCACAAACTCTTCATCTTACAAAGAGCGAAAATAAAAAGTAGTCCAAACAGACACACGTGCGCGAAAGCGTCCTCGTCTGCAAGAACTGTTCTTCACAACAACACTTGGTTAAGAAACATCGCAAAACTCATAACTCATAATTTCCAGGAGCAGATTAAAAAAAAAAAAGAGCGTAGGCGATCGGAAAACACCCTGTTCGGATCCGTGGCCCGGGGAAGACTGGCATCCTCGATTCTGCCCCTACCACGCGGCTGCAATCGTCGACTGGGATCACTCACACCGTTGAAAGGTTTCTTCGTGGTGTATAGACTGCCGGATATATGCAGCTGGCTCGTTTTCGTGTGAACACGGGTTGTTGCGCTGTACGCTTAGTGGTGGGGAACGGTGTTGCGTGACTCGAGTTGACTCGGGGTTGTTGGTGGCGCTAGTTGGCACAGGAACGACACTTTTCAGGACGAAGACCCTTCGATGCTCCGCCTTACTCCACCACGCCCATTTTCCGTGCTCGTATGCGCCGCTGCAACCAGCGGCACTACGAGTTCCGGGGGTTACATAGGTGGGAGCAAGTCTCACCCTGGATCGCGCTTGAAGATGCTCTTCTAACTCGGTAATTATTAAAAATTAAATACGGGAAACGCTCCCTAATTTTATGTCATACGTATAAGTCCCTGCTGGTGGTGTATGTATAATTGTGTCATATAAACAAACGAACAGTCGATGAATGTCGAGGGAATTGTGGAGAAGGTACTCGTGCCATTGACGCTTGATAATTCCCTGTTTCTTAAAGGGTCCATCTTTAGAGCTTTAAATGCAGGGAAGTATTAAGCACTTATTGTAACTTGACGTTTTGTCATTTTGATTAACACAGTTATGTGATTGTCATTATTATTGAAGAATTATCGATCACCTGCTTGTGATCCTTTATTTATGCATTTTTATTATGATAATAAATTTCAAGATCGACGATTGTCACGTAAACTCGAAACGTCACGTATCGATGACGTGATCACTGCGCCAGAGAAAAATAACGATAATTTCTTAATAACAACAGAAATTCTGAAGACTAAAATTTGGAAATTTTGGAGTTTCAGGATTTGAAACTTAATCCTGGGAATTCCCAAATCTAGGAAATTTTGGAATTTTGTAATCTAGGGATTTTTGGAAACCGGGGATTCTTCGAATCTAGGGAATTTTTTAATTTAGGAAGTTATATCTGGAATTTTGAAATTCTGAGATTTTCCTATATATTACTAATACAACGCTGTAGAATGGCTTTATGAAAATTTTCCAGATGGATTTTTGAAAACTGCAAGTAATAAGTTTAAATGACCGAAACATTGATCGAAAAGTTCTGTCTGTAGCGTAGTAAGGTGAAGAAATGAGTCTCGGTTGTCCGTTTAGTTACGGGTAACCCCTCGACACCGACACCATCCCCATCCAAGCATATTCACGCGTGGGTATATATTTTATATTCCATCGTTTCCTTTTTATTTTCGATGAGTTTAGGTTCTCGAGGGGGTTCGAGCACCTGTTTGTATTTCTGCTGCGCCGACACATAAGTCATCCGAGAATGGACTAACGCCTTTTATCACTGCTATCCTTCTCTCTATCATACGTGTACGCTTATGCCTGTGTATCGGACCCAAAATACACATTCAAAGCTTTCTTCTCTAGTAGAGCGACCCGTATACGCCCACGCCTAAAGATGAATATGAATTTTTCGTTTTGGTTCCCAAGAAAACTGTCAAACGGGTTTTCGGCCCGATCCAACGCCTTTTTATTGCTAGCCCAGTGCGCGTGTGCACGCATCCGTGAAATCCAGTGTTTCTTGAATTATGCCCCGACACCCAGAAATGGGGGCCACTACCTTACCGTCGTACCATGGGAATGTCTAGCAATATTATTTATTCTGTACTCGCATTTCTCTTTTTCCTTTTTTCTTGGAAGCAATTTTAATCGTAGGCGCGCGTGCAGCTCGCGGACACGCGTTTGTATTGGAGGGCAAAAGCGTTTTTACACGGTCAGAAGAAGAACAGGGTCGTTGCGATCGGCGGGGAACGGGCCATTAGTAACGCTTACCCGGCATAAAGCGAGAAAAATGGCAGTCGAATTATTCCGCTGGTGGACAAAGGTCCTACCTCATGAGGACACGAGGAGAATCCTCGAAAAAGGAGCCACGGGGTTCCAATGCTGCCCAAGGGGACAAGCCGACGTCTCGAACGTAACATTAATCGATACCATCGAGAATCGATGCTTTCTCTTCGATCTATAATCGATTCTGACAGGAATAATAGCGAGATTACTCTCTGTTTGCTTTTCGTTAGATTAACATTGGCATAACTAGATAGGGGTCAGTGTGCCCTCCCCTCTTCCCACCCCCGATCTACAATTCCAGATTTTTAAAATATCATATTTCGAGGAGCCTAAGTTTTACAAGTCTAAAATTTCAGATTCCCAAAATTCCAAAATTAAGAAATTTTCAAATTCCGAAAACCTTAAGTTTTTAAATTTCTAAGGTACCTGTCCTAGTTCATAAAAAATCCTAGTCACGTCACTGTGAATGACATATAGACAAAGCTGAAAATTTTCAAATTTCAAATAAAATACAAAGTGTGCGATGGAAAATCGTGGAATAGGAAAAATGTAAATGAACCGAGGAAACTTTCTCGAGCGAATTCCCGCATTATCATGATAAAAGTGTTCCAAGAGACCCATTCGCATTGGAGACCAGCCCAAAGGGCCATTGTCGTGTAGAAAATTCCAGAAAACAAGCTGACACGCTGTGAAAACACAACGGCAAAGCAATTTTCATTTTCTACAAAATTCCAGTTTGTTAGATTGTTTAGCTGAATCGGATTCAAGAAATTGCCTGTCCGCCGGAAATTTCGCGAGATATTTATGCACTGGGTATACGACGGTTGCATCTAGTCCTGTAATTTAGGGATTTCCACTTTCCGCTCGGTTTCCAAGCGGAAGAGGAACAAGGACACAGCGATTCGACTACTTCCTCCGTCTACGTCGCGCTCTCAGCTTCCTGCTCTGTGATCTCAGCCCGTCTGAGTTTCATCCCTCTTCAAGTTAGCTAACAGCAGGATCCTGCACAATGTAGTCGTGATTGCAAATCCGCTCGTTATCATCAAAACTGCGCCCAACCTAACGAAACCCACCCTCTCGTCGCGCCAGAGGATCCTTCCTCTCTCCCTCGCCCTCTTGCTTCGTTTCACTTTTGCCAGATGTATCAGCCAAACTGACTACCTTCGCTCGCTAAACAGATTCCTTGCCCTCGCGAAATTTTTCTCCACCCGACTGACAATGAGTCGAAGAGTTCCAAAGTTTCTCCTTCGATCGAACGAGCAGGTTTTGCTTTTGATTTCAGAATTTACGATAAGTCGTTTATTTCCTATGAAATTTCTCGTGGAAATTTAATCGTTGTTAAAGAATTGTTATTATGAAAGTTGCTGAACTTATGAAAACATGACCGACGTTTACAAGAATCTTTCTCAAGCGTGACACGTCTATAGAAAACACCTAACATTCCCACTCGATGACGAAATGACCTGTGCTATTGCAGGTGAGCGAGAATCATCGGCATCCGCTATCAAAACTGTTCCTTTATTGTACCTAGCATGATTTTCTTTCTCGAAGATCAATCATTGATTTTGACGTTCCACTGACCTTGTTGTGAACAGTTACTGCATTGTGTTTCGTTTACCTTGAGTCTTTCAACGGGATGTAGGAGTGCTTAGACTATGAATGGATAAAAATCAATGCCCGTTGTTTAAAAAATTTGAGAAAGTTCTATTGGCGTAACTAGGATTTTTTCTCGAGTGGGCTAAACTTCTTTGAAACTTCAGATTTCCAAAATTCTAATTTTCCAAGATTCTAAATTGCCGAAATTCTGAATTCTGGATTTGAAGTTTGAAATTTTTATATTTTAAGGTTTAGAAATTAAATCAGTTCACATTGGGGGGGAGGGCACTATGGCTCTTATCTACTTACACCAACAGTCAAAACGCGTTAATAATTAGAATCTGAACATTTTCACCACGGTAAAGAACTTTCGCTACCGCATTTATTTATATTTGCAATCGTCGCATCAGAAAGTGTCGAGGCACGGTTATGCCGGTGTAAACGGGTAGAGGATCGTCCTACGCACAAAGGAGATCATCGCTAATCCGGAACATAGTCGAGCGGCTGAATGCGACCACAAGCCTAAGCGCGTTACAACGTACATGTATCTCGTTTCGAATTCGTGGGATCCGTACGATTATACGTCTGGAGGTTAGCAAAGGCATGCATATACATGCAGCCCGTTTCCTATGGGAACGGAACGTTTCCGCGGTGAGTTTAGGTGCGTGCGAGATGTTCAAGGCGGATGATTCAGCTGGATCGAGAGCGACTCGATCGGTGATAATGTTCGCGATAATTAGTCAGGAGAAACCGATAGTATCTGCAACGGTGCCGTTATCCAACCGGTCGCGAGCGTCCATTCTTTTTCTCCTCGTCGACAGATTGACACTTTTCCACGTCGCCCGTTCGTCCAGTCATCCTATCGCTGGTCCCGTAAAAATTCGTGCAAAAATCGCCGCGAATGAATACGATTGTGATTGGCGGAGATTAATTAAGAATCGCAAGGGCGGTATACCTTTGTGACGCGAGATTTAGTTACGCTCCTGTCCGTAAGTCGATGATCATCGATCGTTGTCACAGTCGAGATGACCGCGTGGGATCGCGGAAAAATCGTAGTCGGTGGATCGCAAAATACTGGACGTCCTAATAAGAGGATGCGAGGGGGTGTAGGTCTAACATTATGTAATAGGGGCCACGTGTCGGCCACGCCAACCCCCCCAACCCCTCCTCTGAATAGAATTCGATCGGTGACGATTGTCCATAGAAAAATGAAACGAGCGAACCGCCCGTATAGCTACGTGGGTTTCATCCCTCTCGAGTCAGAACGTTCACAATGAACCGAACCCCGCGCGCGCCACTATTCAGCCTTTAATCCGATTATTTCTTTCGAATCAACGAGCACCGCACCGCGTGCCCACTTACAACCTCGACCTACATGTAATACGGGCACGCGATCGGAAAAATCTCAACGATCCAACTCTGCTTTATGGAAGCGAACGCTAGCCGGCCAACAGGTAGCCTCCTAACGATCCGGTATGCTCTCGCGGAGTAATCTCAGCGGCGACAATTAAATCAGCAGCGCAGGGCTGATTTCACCGTCGCGGATTGAGTCGTTCACCGAGACTCGAGGGCTTCTGTTCTTTCTCTTTCTCTTTCCGTTCAACGTGCCGATGA